AGAAAAATTACAGGTAACCTCAATATCTAAAGAATATCTTAGAGAATTCTGAATCCATTAATACAAGTAATGAAGTTATAAGGGAGAGCCAGTCAACAGTAAAAAGAGGTTGCTGTTAGTTCTACATGTATTGAGTTTGGGGTAAAAGTTGGTGACTCACTAAGAAATGTCCAGTGGGCTGCTCTGACAGGGATCATAATAGAGGGTCCCAGAGAGAGCAGGAGAAAAATGCAGAACAATATTCTAACTCACAAAAAAAGATAAGACTTACTGGCTTGACAGAGACTGGAGAAATCCCAAGAGTATGGGCCCAGACACCCTTTAGCTCAGTAACGAAGTCACTCCTGAGGTTCACCTTTCAGCCAAAGATTACACAGGCCCGTAAAACAAAATGAGACTAAAGGGACACACTAGCCCAGAGGCGAGGACGAGATGGCAGGAGGGGACAGGAAAGCTGGTAATAGGGAACCCAAGGTCGAGCAGGGAGAGTGTTGACATGTCATGGGGCTGTTAACCAATGTCATAAAACAATACGTGTACTAACCGTGAATGAGAAGCTAGTTTGTTCTATAAACCTTCATCAAAAGTATAATTAAAAAAAAGAAAGAAATGCCAAGTGGGATTTGGGGTGGAAGAAGAGGGTCAGAATTGCAGATGTATACGTGAGAGTCATCAGGGTTAAAATAATCACTGAAGCCCCAACGGTGGTTGCTATCTTCAATAAGAGAATACGCAGCAAGAACCAGCTGCTGAGGAGCTTTGGAGGATGCTCCAAAAGGGAGAACCTGCTGAGCCAGATCCATCATGTGCTAAGCCAGAGCAGAGGGGAGAAGGGCCAGGGAGCAAGCTAACAAAGAGAAACACCAATGCTTAAAGTCCAAATGGAAATGCACCAGCAGTATTCTCCACCATCTTCACAATAAGTGCTTAAAAAATAACCCCAAGAGGCTGTTAATCCTTTGTAGATCGCCCATCTGCTTCCATCTAGCAAAAGTATCTTCTAAAGGAGATTTCTCTGTATTTGACAAGGCGACTTAGTACATGCTGAAATTGGAGAGTGGAAGCTTTTAAGAACACAAGAAAGTTCTGTTTTTTTTTTTTTTTTTTTTTTGACAGAACAAACCAGGATACTCATCCAGACAAATGCTTGATCGTGAATCAGACTGAAATGATAATGATACTCCATACTGAGTAAAATCCTTTTAGACTTAGCTTTTTTAAAGAAAAAAAAAAAAGGTGCCATTGAGTCAACTCCAACTCATGGTGACACCGTGTGTATCAGAGTAGAACTGTGCTCCATAGGGTTTTCAATGGCTGATTTTTTGGAAGTAGATCATTGTTTTGTTTTGTTTTACATAATGTTAAATGTATTCTTCCTGTAAATGTATTAATATTCCCAAAGAAAGATATGGAAAAATATCAAGTTTTCATGTGTATCAATAAACTAGCAAAGAGAGGACTATCCCTCCAATTTCCAAAACTGCACAAAGACTACTAATATCATGCCTAATTAAGTTATTCTTTAGCCCATTTTAAAAAGCTTTAGGATAATGACACATCATGTTAATAATAATAGCATATGTCATTTCTTAAATATATTGTAATAAAAAATATTTTCTAATTTCTGTTTTAATTTCTTCTTTGACTTGTAAATTACTCAGAAGTGCATTCATTTCCAGGAAGTTAAGGATTTCTTAATTAACTCTGTTATTAAATTCTAGCTTAATTCCATTATGGTCAGAGAATATACTTTGAACAATTTCAATCTTGATATTTGTAGACGCTTTCTTTAGGGCACAGTGTATGATCAATTTTGATAAATGTTCTATGTGCAAGTTAAGAATATCAATTCTATTTTTGCTCGGTGCAGTGTTCTAAGAGCCAATTAGGTCAAGTTTATTCATCACTTTATTAAGATCTTCTATATCCTTATTATTTTTGTCCGTTTATAAGTTCTTGAGAGGTATGTGTTAATATCTCCCACTAGGACTGTGAATTTGTCCTGTTTTAGATCTGTCCATTTTTGCTATATATATTTTGAAGTCATGTTATTTGCGCCATAAAGATTTAAGATTGTGATACCTTTCTGTAGGGCTGACCATTTCATCATTATAAAATGTCACTCTTTATCTCAAAGTAACATTATCATGTATGCTGTCACTTATTAGTATAGCTACACCAACTTTACTTCGGTTAAGGCTGGCATATAGTAGGGTTTTGTTTTTTTTTTTAATTTAATACTAACAAACTTAGTCTTTTACTTGGAGTATTTATTTAGTACATTTACATTAAATGTAATTACTTATGTAGATGGGTTTATTTTAATATTTGTTTTCGATTTGATCCATCTTTTTTATGTACCCATTTAATTCCTTTCTTGCCTTTTTTTAAAAAATTAAGTCTTTTGCTCCCTTTTTCTAACTATTCTTTCACAGGTTACTTTAGAGATTACACTATGCACCCTTGACTGAGTACAGTCTGATGCAGATTATTGCTTTTTCTACTTCTCCAATAGTCCTAAAACCTTAAAACACTTTAACTTCATTAACAACTTTCCTGCCTTTTATAGTATTGCCATGCATTTTACTTCTACATGCATTTTAAACTCTACAAAACACTATTACATTATTGTTTTGCACAGTCAACATTCATTTATATTTCATACATATATTTACCCTTTATGGAGTTCTTCATTCCTTCATGCATTTCCATCTGGGATCATTTTCCTTCTACCTAAAGTATCTGCTCTATCTTTAGTATTTCTTGTAACATAGGCCCATTAAAACCTGTTGCTGTTGAGTCGATTCCAACTAATAGTGACCCTACAGGACAGAGTAGAACTGCTCCATAGGATTTCCAAGGCTGTAATCTTTATGGAAGCAGACTACCGCATCTTTCTCCTGAGGAGCAGCTGATGGGTTCGAATCGCCGACCTTTCATTTAGCAGCTGAGTGCTTAACCATTGGGCCACTAGGGCTCCTGAATGCAGGCCCACTATTGACAAATTCCCTTAGTTTTTGCTTGTCTGGAAATATCTTTATTTCACCTTCACTGTGGAAGGAAATTTTTATTAAGAACAGAATTGTAGTTTGGCAATTTTTTTTTTTTCTTTCAGTACTGGAAAGATAGTCATTTCACTGTCTTTTCTTTTTTAATCACTTCTTTTAAGTTGCCACAGTCAGTCATATTGTTGTTCCTTTAAAAATAATGTGACTCCCCACCCTCATAATTCCCTGTTGCTTTTAAGATTTTCTTTTTGTCACAGGTTTTTCATAGTCTTACCCTGGTGTGCCCCAGATATGTTTCCTTGGTATTTATTCTTAGAGTTTTCTAAGCTTTTTGAATGTATAAGCTGACATATTTCATCATTTTATAAAGCTCTTAAGTTCTTAGTATTATCTCTTCAAATACTGTTTCTGTCTCATTTGCTCTCTTCTCCAATTCTACATATGTTAGACCTTTTAAGCACGTCCTACATGCCTCTAACGCTCTTATCTGGTTTTTTTCTCTGTGTTTCAGTTTAAGATTATCTACTGACCTTTCTTCCAGTTTATTAACTTTATCTTGTATTATGTCCAATCTGCTAATGAACTTAACTACTAAGTTCTAAATTTCAAATATGCTATTTTTCAGTTCTAGAATATCCATCTGATTCTTCATAATAAATATAAAATATGCTGAAATTCTCTATATCTCCATCTATTTTGCCCATCTTTTTATCTATTCTCTTAAACATATTATTAATAGTTACTTTAAAGTACTTGACACCTAATTCCAATATCTGGTTCATCTGTGAGTCTCCTTCTCTTGCCTTTGAGTCATATAATCTGCCTCTGAGCATGTCTAGTAATTTTTTACTGTATGCTGAACATTGTGGTCTTTATGACATTATGTCCCACCTACACAAAATAGAGGATTCTGCTTGAACTCTGTTAAGCAATCAGAGAAGGGGACTCATCATCCAATTAGAGACTAAGCTGGGCTGAGTCTGGGTTGTTTTTTTTTTTTTTAACAACTCAGTCTATCTCTGGTTTGACCTTGTTTCTAAGGTATGGCCCTCCATGGATTTCAATGAGAAATCATTGTCTTCTCTGCACTAGATCCAGTCAGTTCTGCCCTTAAGAGGTAATCAGCTTAGGTCGTTAACTTCCCATCCCACTTAGCTTCGAAACTTGGCATATACCTTGACAAGGATGCTGACCAGATGTTTGGGGATCCTCCAGTATCTTTCTTTTTTTAAACACATCTGCTCTTACTCCTAGAAACAGCCTTCTGCCAGGGGCCAAGCATGGATTATCATCTCCCAACTCCACCTGGAATCAGTAGCTGTCCCAGGTGAAAAGTAGCTGCAGGACTCCAGTCAGTAAACCACTCCTTCTATGCCTTTCATCTCTTGTCTATTCTGTTTTTAGTCTCCTGTCCTCAGCAGATCTATGTTTCCTAAGCACTGTAGGAGGCTCCAATGAGTCTTCTACAAGCTTGTGGTGTATCGCTTTGGCTCCCCTCTGACCTCAGATTTCCCCAAATCTCACCTCAGAAAACCAGCTGTTGGAGTGCCCTTTCTCCCACTCTGTTTCCAATTTGTCATTCCACCCCAGCGTGACCACTAAAAGCTTTGCTGATTTCTCTTTCACCCAGCAGCAGTCCTCTGCCTGACCTCATGTCATCCAGAATCAGTAAGTATCCACAAAAAATAAAATGACTGGTAATTCTCACTGCATCGCTAAATGACTCTCTCATCTCTGGAATTTCATTCCAACTATTCCTCATTGCTTCTAGAGGTCTCTGATGCCTTTAAGAACATGACTTTTGTAATTTGCCTGCTTTTTATAGATGTTATCAGCATCTCTAATAAACTACATACTATATTTTGTACTACTAATTACTTCCAGTGAATTTCTAAATATTTGTAAAATGGCATTAGTAATCATAATATTTTTCAAAGTGCAATTTAAATATGCTTTTGAAATTAAAACATTAATAAAACAGTTACTTCTTACCTCTTCATAAAACTTCACCTGAGGCACAGCTTCATTAATTTCATTCAAACAAAAATCTTTAAACAGCAAGAAACCTAAAGGAAAAGAATAAAAAATTTCAGGGTGGCCAATAAATTCAAACTTTACCCTACAAGGTATTTTCAAAGTAATTTCTTTATATCTCACCTCCTCCTCTCTTACCTTAAAAATAAAAAAGAATTCCAAGAGGCTAATTACACCCTAGAAGAAAATAACGCCAACTGGAAGAGTACCACATACCTGGCTCCTTGCTTCAGGGGCTCCTTCCCTATTCACAATCCCTCCTCCTTTTTAAAAATGCATTACAAGCAGTGCTACTAGTGGTCACTACCACCTAGAGCCATTGGTTGCTATAGTGAGCAGAAAAACAACCGAAGAAATAAAAGATGTGGGCAATAGGGAAGTGTTGGTTAAGAGTCACCACAGAGATAATAAACACTATGCCCAAAGAAACAGGACTGAATCCCTAAAAAGACAGGAATGTTCTAGCCTTTTTTTTTTCACCACTCACTCACTATCCCCACATGAATCCAAATAGCTAGTGCCAGACCAGATGACTCATTCCCAGATCTCGCCTCGCTCCTTCACAACTCCATGTTTCACCTTTAAACAGTCCTTTTTGCCTCCTCTAAGGAGCCCTGGTGGCGCAAAGGGTAAGCACTCAGCTGCTAACCAAAAGGTGGGCGATTCAAACCCACACAGTGGCTTCTATGGGAGAAAGATGTAGCAGTCTGCTCCCCTAAAGGTCACAGCCTAGAAAACGCAATGTGGAAGTCACGTGGGGTCACTACGAATCAGAACCCACTAGACGGTACCCCACAATAACAACAACATACCTTGGAAACTGCTAACACAACCTTCAAACTCAGATTCAAAAGCCACCTCCACTCTTCAGTCTTCTCTGATGAGAGACTCTACTGCACAGTGCCTGGCACACAGTAGGTCGTCAATAAATGTTGGTTAAATGAATGCTTTTATACAGCTCTTCTAACATGCCTCTATCAAAGTACTTACCACATACCAAACTCTAACTAATTATCTGATTTGTAAGCCTCCCACCCCACTTGCAAATCTAGTGCCTAACTTAATGTCTAGCACACAGTCGGCCTAGATGACCGAATGAAGTTGAATGAAGACAAGCTGATTCCAGACTGATGGTAGAGATACCTGAAGATCACAAAACCCAAAAAGTCTGAACAGTTAAAGGACTAGCCAAGGAAACAGAAGTCACTAAAGGGAAATAAGGCTCACAAAAAGTTTAAAATGGAGGCAGGTGGGTAAATTCCCCAGGCAGGATTGAGATATAGGAAGCAGCTCTGACAAGACTGTAATTAATGTTAGCATATGAATCACGTAACTTGAGCTTGTCTGTTACTGCCCCATAAATTCCCCTCCGTAGTTGCAGGAACATGACCTTTGAAAGTGGTCAATGTCCTTTCATTTGAACTAAATGAGAAAATTATTAAATCTAGTTACATATAGGTAGGCATCCCTGGGTAACAAAACGCCTAAGCTTTCAGCTACTATCCAAAAAGCTGGTGATTCAAACCCATCCAGAGGCACCTCGGAAGACAGGCCTGTTGATATGCTTCTGAAAGGTTAGAGCCTTGAAAACCCCATGGAGCACAGTTCTACTCTGACAAGCATGGGGTCACCATGAGTTGGAGTCAACTTGACGGCAGCGGGTTTTAGTTACATAGGCAAGGCCAGGCTTCACTGGGTTGGGTGTAACACTACCAACAGGCACAAGAACCACGCTTGTCCTGCAGAGAAACTACTGTGCTGCCAGCACATGAAGGAAGGAAGAAATTCAAGATGCTGACATATAGGAAGAGTGGAGGATGCAAATCTCTACCCATTTGCATATTAATATTTTTTACTTTAAGGTAATTTCAAGGTAATCACTAATTTCCTTTGTCATTTCTTCTTCGACTTGTGGGTCCTTTAAAAATATGTAGCTTCATTTCCAAATATTTTGGGATTTTTCTAGGTGCTTTTATGATACTGATTTCTATTTAACTCTGCTGTGGTCAGAGAACATACTCAGTATGATTTAAATGCTTTTAAATTTATCGAGACTTAAGATACAACTATTGGTTTCGTGTCTGCAGCAAAAAAGAAAGAAGGAAATCAAAGATTCAAAGACGAAACTAGTCTACAGGACTAACAGTCTGCATGAATCATGGCCTCACCTACCTTGAGACCAGAAGAACTAGATGGTGCCTGGCTACCATTATGGACCATTCTGACCAGGGACTAGATGGTCCCAGATAAAAGGGGAAAAAAATGTAGAACAAAACTCAAATTCCTAGAAAAGATCAGACTTACTGGACCAGTAGAGACTAGAGGAACCCCTGAGACTATCACCCTGGGATACCCTTTAAACTTGGAACTCAAATCACTCCCAGAGGTCACCAATCAGCCAAAAGACAGAGCAGCTCATAAAATAAATAATATCACCTGTCAGTACTGTGCTCCTCTAAACAATCATCTAAAATGAGACCTAATTGTCAACATTTACCCAGACCAAAGATGAGAAGGTAAGGGTGGACAAGGAAGCTAGATTAATGGAAACAGAACAACCAGAATGGAAATAATGAGAATGCTGACACATTGTGAAAAGTGTAATCAATGTCACTGAATATTACATATAGAAATGTTAAATGAGAACAAATTTGTTATATAAATTTTCTCCAAAATCACAATAAAATATTAAAAATAAATAAATAAATTTATTGAGACTTTATTTTGGCCCAAAATTTGGTTTAACTAGCTGAACATTCATTCCACAGGCACTTGGGGGAAAAATGTGTATTCTGCTACTGTAAGCTGAAGTTTCACCGAAAAAAATAAAGTTAAAAGTAAACTTAAAATGTTAGATTGACAAATGTGTTATATATATTTTTAAAACAATTTTTTTTTTTTTTTAAAAAGTCAGTTAAGCCACTATTAATTGGCTTGGTTGATAGGGTTGTTTGAGTCCTCTAAATCCTTGTTATTAGTTGCCATCAAGTCAATTCCAACTCATGGGTGATTGTCTATATTATTCCATCCATTATTAACAGAGGAGTGCTGATCTCTATTGTAATTGTGAATTTTTTTAAATAATATTTTACTGTGTTTTGGGTGAAAATTTTCACAGTAAATTAGGTTCCCATCTGACAATTTCTATACAAATTGTTCAGTGACTGTAGTTACATTTGTTACAATATGTCAACATTCTCTTTGTTTGTGTTCTGGTTGTTTCATTTCCAGTTCTCTAGTTTCCCTGCCCCCTTATCTTCTTATCTTTGCTTTAGAGTAATTGTTGACCTTTTGGTATCATATAGATGGTTTTTTAATGGAGCACCATTCTCATGGGAAATATTCTTTATTTTGTGTACCATCCTGGTATTTCACTAAAAGGTGACCTCGGGATAGTTTTGGTTCAAGGTTTAAAGAGTACCTCAGCACAACATTCTCAGGGAGTCCTTAAGCTTCAACTGATACTGTAAGTCTGGACTTTTTTAAAAAACTGAGTTCTGTTTTGTGTTTTTCTCCCGTTCTATCAAGGTCCATCTATTTTGGCCCTGATCAGAACGGTCAGTAGCAGTAGCCAGGCACCATCTAATTATTCTGGTCTCTGGGTAGATGAGGCTATGGCCTGTGGGGCTATTAGCCCTGTAATGTAATTGTGAATTTGTTAATCCTCTTCCAATTCTGTTAGTTTTTGCTTCATGGATTTTTTTTTCTACTTTTAGAAGACAAAACTAAAATAAGAAATTGAACTTGGTATTTAAGTTTCAAAAACATTTAAATGACAAAATTAAATAATACCACCTGTGGACCACTGGCTTTCTAACTACACCTGGAATCAAACTGAAACTCCTCGCCATGGCTAAACACGCCCTCTGTAATCCAGTCCCTGCTTTTCTTCACCAGCCTCATCTTGTACTGCTCTCCCCTAAATTCGCTTCACTTAGGCCATGGTATCTGCATTCCAGTTCCTCTAACACCCAGCTAATCCCTGTTCAGGGCTTCTCACCTGCTTTCCCACCTACTGGAACACTTTCCCTGGATATTCTGGACCTTCATAACTCAAATACATCTCTCCTTAGAGAGACCTTCTATCATTCTCATATTCTCTCTCTCTCCTTTCATCCATTTATCCCTTTCCCCCACAAACACACACACACCTCACTTTGTTTACAGCACAGAAGATTACCAAAAATTATAACGTGTATGTTTGTTTACTTTTTTATTGTCTGACTCCTCCACTGTAATGTAAACTGCATATGGATAGGCCACATATGTCTTACTCTCTAATATATTTGCAGCAAATAGAGAAGGCTCAGGAGAAAGAGGTAGAAAGGAAAGAAAGAAGAAGAGATGAAGGTATAGAAGAAAAGAGAAGGGAGGGAGGGGAAAAAAGGAGGGCAGGAAGGATAATGGAAGCCTTCTTGTAGAAGAGTTAAAATACGGAAAGAGAGAAGACCAGAATGTACATTGTGGTATTAGACTGGAATTGGGGGTATCTGCTTGATTAATAGACAGACAGATCTAGGTATACACACATACACACACACACAAACACACACATTCTCTTTTTCTATTTACTAAGAGGACTTAGAAGCACAGACACACCAATAGCAATGAACACATCTAGTGTCCAAATTTTGGTTTCTAAACACCATTCTCTATTAAAAGGAACTGGGGTGCTTAGAGAAAAGGGTGATTGATTCCAGGGCAGGGGCAGTAAATATACAAAATGAGCCTTAAACATTTTATTGCACCATAAAGTAAAAAAGTACTCAAAGAACGATCAAGATACATGCAAATGATACAGGAACCAGCTTGCAGGGGCTTCCACTAGCAAAAACTGGGAGGACAATGAGAATATCAAAATAAATAATGATAGTAACAATTATAGCCCATTGGCTGAATTAAGAATCCATGAACCCATACTGATATAAATAAATAGGTAAGTAAGTAAGTAAATAAATAAAGTGCATTCAACTAACCGCGAATAGAAAATATTTGGGAAAAAAAGCTAACACTGTTGCTGGCAGGTACTATG